ATTAGAAGCTCTGCTACATCCTTGGCACTTTTCACACCTGCCTAGTGCCCATTCTTCTCCCACCTGTACCCACAAAGCCTGAGAGGCACAGAAAGAAACAGCATGCTTGCCTCCAATCCAAGGAAAAGAAAACCTGTTTGCAGACTTTGTGCCCCAGTTCCACCTGACCCTGCCCTGAAGGTGGGACCAAATCAGGGGAGGTTCCCTTGGCACAAAGGGTCCCATGACGGAGCCCAAAACCCAGTCTGTAAAAATGAAAACAGATGCAGGAAATGTGTCCAGGACTTCTTCATGAGCCAGAACAAGGGTGCATCTAACACCCTCACTGGAAATTTAACTTCACAACCATGGCTTCCCCATGCACTTCCCTGTGAAGCCCTGGCCATGCTCTGGGTGTTCAGGTTACACAGGGGTAATTTCAGAATAATTTCAAAGTCAACTGCCAGGCATGTGCACTTGCAAATTAAATGCCTCACACATAATAGTTCAGCACAATAGAAATTACAGGGGTGCACCTGGGACCTGCTATCTCACCGTCATCTGAGCCTGTGGATTATCAGGCAGAGCAGTCAGCCTGCCTCAGCCCAGTGAAAGCCTCCTTCGCTCAGCTAATGGGCACATACCATGTTATTAACCCCATTGCTTTAATGCTGACACTGTTTTCTCTTTGCAATGAAAGACCTTTGCAGATTAAACAAAATCTTGTGCAACTTACTCCTGACCCTTTGGACATGAAGTGGCAAGCTCTGGAAGGGTGCCAGCTCGCCCTCTGCTCCTTCTGTCCCTCCTTCACCGTCCATTCCCTCCATCACTTCCTCCTGTCTCCAATTTTTAGTATATTTGGCTGTGTTTCAATGACATGATACAAAATACCTCCTCTTTGGAAAGAGCTCAGTGGCTACAGGAAATGAGGCAGTGAAAACCAAGAACCATGCTTTCAGCCCCCCTCCCCCCACCTATCCCACGTTCAGATCCCACTGCTACTGTTAAAAAAAAGTTAATAAGGTAGCCTTTCAGAAATGTTTTTCTCTGAATTTTGCATACAAACAAAAATAGGTAAACTGGGTTTGATACAAATGAGTTCATATAGTGCATATTGTTTTGCCACTTACTTTTTTTTAAATGTAATTTCACTTACTGGAGAGCTTTCCATATTGCAGTATGTATAAACCAGCGACATTTGTGAATTGTGGCTCATTTTGGTGTGACCTCGATGTGGCCAGTACTGATGGGTGTTTGGATTGTTTGGATCTGCTGGTCTGTGTGCTGAGTGCTGTGGTGAGCAAAATGCAACCTTCTCGGTACAGGAAGGGATTTTCCAGAACAGATCTGGAAGGGGAGGTACCATTAAATGGATTTTTCAGTTAAAAGAAAAGTCTTTCATTTCACTTATACACAGAGGTTGAATATACATCCAGAGTCTCAAATCATCAAGATTATTTTTCCTTTCACCCTCTGTCTTTCCATTTCTGAAATATTATAGAGCCAGTCATGCCATAGCTAAGAACCATGTCATTTCACCACTCCATACTTCATTTTACACCTCTAAAGACACCAGTTTTAAAAATGTAATCATATGCCATCATCACACTAAAAAAATTAACCACAAATCTTTGTCATCCGATGAACTGCCTCACTTATGTTTCTCCAATTGTCTCAAACATGCCTTTTTACTGGTAGATTGTTTTGAATCATGATTGAAAAACTAGACCCCCCACCTTGCCTTTCACGGTAGCCTCTGACTCTCAACCTGGAGTAGCCCTCTTTCCACGGCAGTGTGGGGTGGTGGTGGTCTTCACACCTATTGTGACGCACTCCACCCCCCAGATTTGCTGCGTCCTCAAACCCCCTGGCCATCTTCTCTACCCGCTGTCCCTGCAAGTTAATGAAAAGATTGACTAGAAGCAAATTCAGCTTCTGAGCCCGACTTGTTCCTAGTGATGCTCTGCTTCACTCTGCACCAGGGTTATTTGTGCATTTTATTTAGTTTTGATAATAATGTTTGTTTTCTTCTCTAAGAAAAGAGTTGACTGAGATGATCTGTAAGGGGCACAGCCCTTGTTTACTGATGGAAAAGCTGGCAGCACGAAGGGGAAGGGTGACAGGCTAAGGGTGCAAAGCCGGGAAGCCCCAGGCCGCACCTGTCCGCTGCCCTCAGGAGTCTTTTTCTCAGAGCTGCGTGTCCAGCTTCCCTAGAAATGACCGTATGACTTAGGATTCAGGTATAATGACTAGCAGAAGATAAAACATAGCATAGAGGCATTTAAAACATGGAAGGCATATGATTTACTAAACTACCAACCTTCCAACTTAACTCACCAAATTTTTAAGAAATTCATGTTAAGCTGTGATTAACACCCAGATATATAGCTGGAGATACCAGGGAGTGACAAGCCATGTGTGCTGAAGGAATAATATGTGACTCTGTGGATTTTAAATATATATATCTTGTTTATATCCTTCTTTTACAGACAACCCACTTGGCTTAATGGAATGAGACAAGTAGAAGGGGAAATTTGATCTCAGGCAGCAAGGATTCCTATGTCTGGAGAAAATATTTTAACCTTAAAGAGCTGAAAAGTGCATTTCGTGGGTTTTCAAGGACCTCACCTGTAGTTGGGTATTTTATAAAAGACAGACTGCACTTTCATAGGTGAGGGTTTCTTTAATGTGGATTCTGTTTTTTCAAGATATATGCTGTGTTTCTCATTGTCACACGCTGTGCTCTGTCTCTCATTTGACGATGACCTCATCTGACCTTCTAGGCTACTAGCTCAGTGTTGCCCCGGGAGGCGCTGTTGCCCAAGGCACCAGGTTGATAAACTGTAGTAGAGCCAATACTTTAGCCCCAGTTTCTAATTTGAAGAGCAGTGTTCTTTCCACAATACCATGTTTTAAAGGAGGATGTACTCAAAAAAATGTGCCTTTTGAATTAGAAGGATCAGCAATGTCTGGAGAAGAGCTGTGGTGACAGACTATAATAAATGACTCTCTCCACTGTAGTCCCAGGTGGAGAGTGATGAAGGGTCCCATCGTGAACGGTTTTGGTGGTAGTAGTTCCTAATGCAGAGAAAGGTGTGCTGTGAAGTCAAGAAACTAGTACCAAGCTGGGAATCGGAGATGAAGTCAGGGCTGGGGCGAGGCACGTGCTCAGCTGTGCACCCCGCTCCCCGCCTCTCACGTGGACAGCCTTCGACTGTCACCCGCTAGAAAGCAGGAGTGAGGGGAGTAGGACAGTTGAGAAAAGAGAGCGGCTGGTCCTTACCGTGTTCTAAAATCTGGCCCTGACCTGTCAGCGGTAAGGGGGAGTCCAAGAGGAGCCCCTGACCTGTGGCAGAGCTCGTCTCAGACAAGGCCTGCCAGCCTTCTGACAAGCCGTGTGCAGGTGCCAAGATCTACCCTCACCCATGCACACGCACAGAAGTTGGGCAGAATGACGTATACCCTCAGAAAGCCTTACTGACAACTAAGTGGCTGCTGTTCCCCCATCATTGTGCCCAGGATTCCTGCTAGGCTGAGAACAGAATGTCCTGTGACATAATATCGTGGGTAGCATTTTGTAGACCATACCTTGCCTTGCTTTGCATTTGGCCTGACAATTCAGTGAGATGCTGAGTCCTGCAAGTTTATTCCGGGGGAAGAGAAAATACCCTAGAGTTCAATTAGGTGACTCCCTCAGATTGACTGTTCACCTTAATTACTGCAGTGAGATCTGCATCTGGAGGCTTATGCCAGCCTCACTTGGGCCTGCAATAAAGTGGACCACACTCAGGCCCTGATTTCCATAGTGCTGGGCACTTGCAAATCAGACTAGTCCTAGAGCCCATCACCCCTACAAGTGCAATAAATATAGTTACCCTGTTTTTCATTTCCTGGAACTGATTTTTCTGTATTTATTGCAGAAGAATTGGTTTTGAACAAAGTGTTCTATCACATGAAATATCTTTGTGGAATCTAGTTTATATACCTTTTCCACCAGTTCAAAACATGCTCTGTCCTATCAAATGGTCACCAAGCGCCATGACGAGCTAATGACGTCATTCCATCATTTGTCATTCATGTGCTGGGCTAATTACAGCTGCCTTCCCTGCGTCAGCCTCTGGCAGGGCCAGCTGGTGCTGCACCTCCAGAAATTTGCAGATTATAAATGTGGTTTTCTTGATGGTGCTAAAGATCTGTCAATTTAGAGACTGATTAGAGATTAAGAATTTGGAGGGCTTCCATTGCTAGCATTTCTATGAATAACCAGCTTGAGTATTGAGTTCTAACCTGAAAACCTGTGCGGACAAAATTCACTTAACTGGTGACCTTTAGGTGTCCCATCCTAACTTGCCATTTCCATGTGGCCATTTTAATTTTAATCTAGAGCATCCAAACTTAAATGGGTCTTTGAGAAACTACTCAGCATCTGTGCGTCCTGGTCTCCTCAGCTGGCATCTAGGGCGACTAGATGGTCGGATGGGTCCCTTCCCGGCAGGAGCCTCAGTTAGTGTGCCCCGTTGTGACATAGCTCACTTTCTGCTCTTTCACTTCTACTCTCCACGTTTGGAATCATAGAAATCCTATTTCTGTGTTTTTCAAAAGGAATTATTTTTGTGGTCATTGTTGCAATGGTCATTTTTCCTCCACTCGGTGTGGGAATCACCAGCCTGGCCAGCTCACAACCATGCGCGGGTAACGCAGCTATACTAGGGCCCTGAGGTGGCCGCAGCTGCTGAGTCCCTACACTCTTCCCACTGCTCACCGAGCTCAGTCGTAGCTATTGGTGACTGAAACCGGGGCATTGCCCTGCCTGACTGGACAGCACCCCACATGGCCTTTCCTAATCCTCTCAGGGCATTGCACAGTTTTCTATTCTGAAAACAGTAATTTCTGCTCATATCTGTGCACAATCAGTAGTGAAGAAGTGATTCTTTTTTATGAGGAACCTGCACTTATTTATAACATTCTAATTTTGGTGAAAACTTTGTGCTAGAGACTGGGGTTTAGTTTAGTTTTTTTATTAATTTAGGGGCATGAAAAAGTTTGCATCTGTTACCCAAGGACTGACTTCTCCATGTCTCCCTTAGACAGGGTGGTTTAAGGCTCCCGTCCGCGTGCAGTCCGTTCATGGTGGTGGTGCGTCCTCCTGTTGGGGTGGTGACTGTCCCCAGTGGCCCTGGGAGTTGCTGAGGAAGCACACGATTGTGGAGGTGCTGACAGACATGGAGCAGCTGGCTGCATAAAACATCGGTTCCGCAGGTGATGGCAAAGCCATACATGGGGCGGGAAGTGCTCGCACCAAGAACTAACAGTACAGCCCACGGGAGTCATGTGTGGCCAATACAGAATGAAACTCATTGTACGGAACTGTACGTAGGCTGGCTGAAGTTATGTTTTCCCCATTACAAAAGAAAGGTTTGTCCTCAGAGTGGCAGCTTGACAGGATGACATCTGGTGATAACACTTATTCATTTGGAAATTAATCTTAGAAGCGAGTTTCCATGGCCAGTGAGGAGAAACATGAGTTGGCCTAACCCAGCATCCAGCCCTTCATCCTGGGAGAGAGCTCCCGGCCCTGGGCAGCCCCCTCGCCCCGGGAGAGAGTTCTTGGTTATGCGTGGCAGCTGCCTTGCAGGAGTGCCACATTGGGAGAGGTTCTGGAATGCCCTTCCTGAGCACAGAAGCCAGACCTCCTAGCGGAGGGCACTGGGGACAGATTGGCCTGTCACCCCAGGAGGTCCCATCCTGGAGAGGTTTCCAAGGATGTAGATCCTGGGCAGCTGAGGACCAGTGGAGAATGCTTCCATTGGAGACCAACCTCTAGCTCATAGTTTTGTTCCAGGAGTCCATAATGAAAATGGAAGGGGATGTCACTACAGAGTGTTTTAATGGTTTCCCTCCATACTTTGGGTTTCACTCCAAAGCTTTGCATCTGTCTATGCAGTCATCTCAGATCTGTTTTGGAAGCAGGGTAAAAAGAAGTAAATGCATAATGTGGTAGGTGTGTTTCTGGCCATCATAGTTGCTATGACATTGCATTTTCCTGTGTGTTTGTTTTGTAGGCTCTAGACAGACCCTACTGTGGCAGATGAAGCAGTTATCTTTGAAATATTAGAGAGGCCCAAATGAATTTAGCAGAGGCATCCAAAAGCATGATCCATGGTAATGCAAAATCATCAAGTTTTGGGGGGTCATCCAGACTGGGAAACTCTTTGGAAGACTTGAGGAAGGGGGCTCCTCCTTTCTAGTTTACTCAAGTTAAGGTTCAAAGACCCAATAATTCTGAATTGCCCCTTGTCCTTTTCCAGTTGCAATGCCTTGCAGGTGTGGGCCACAGGTGACCATCTCTGTGAGGACGCTGACGTGATGTTCTTACTGTTTGTAATGCTCCTGGTGCCCAGGCTTGAGGTGGTGATGGCATGGTTTCTCCAGACCGTCTCTGTGCCTTCACACGATTCATTTATGCATGCACTTGGGAAAGGTTGGGGGAATGAATTAGTGACCTTGGAACTTAGCTCTCCAGCTACACAGGAAAATCAGAAGTGAATGTAGGTTGATCCTGGAGCATCATACACTGTAAATAACTGATAAGGGAAGGATTTCTGGAATATTTGGTCTAGTTGCTGTCACAGGGAAAGGACAAATTGTAAAACTCAAGTTTGTATTTTCTTTTACTTATGATTCAGTAAAAAGTCAAAGAAGAGCCTCCGTAGGAGTCATCCTGTGAGAACTGAATGTATTGTTTCACGCTCCTTTCTGCACTTTGGAGGAGAGTCTTGTTCAGCCCTCTGAGCTGCACCCCAAGCTCTGGTCACCGGTTTCCACACAGCCATCTGTTTGTTGCTCTGCCGACAGTCCCTGCCTGTCTGCTTGTCTTGACAAACACGGCAGATTTCTTGACGGAGGGGCCCCTCAGCCAAGAGGTCAACCACTACGACCTCATGGATCCTGCAGGGCGTCCTGGATGCCCTGTGCCAAGCGTTTCTGCCGGCACCCAGAGAGTCAGCCTTTCCGGTGTTAGGAGCTTGAGGAGGAAACCAGAGGGTGGGTGAGCAGTCCTGGGGCTGGTCTCGGAGCCCTGGAGACCGCTGGGGGACAGCAACCGTAGGGCCTGGCCACAGGCCAACCCCATGGTGTGAGGGTGCCCAGTGGTCTTACCTCTGCCTTATTTCTCCTAATAAAAGAGAAAGAAAGATTTGTCTTTTAAAGAAAGTAAGGGCCTCCCACTCCACGGCCTCTCTCACCCAACCCAGGGCCCTGCCCCTAATTATGTATTCATAATGCAGTAGCTCAAGCCCCCACCCCCACACTTACAAGCCTCAGGCCTCTCAAGGCAGGGACCCACCCTCACAGTGACAGCTCCTGTGTTGTCCTGTTTCTGCTCGGCCCCCCTCCAGCACGCAGAATTCCACAGGTCGAATCATTTCACCTTTGTAAAACTCAGTCTCCTTTCCTCTAAAGTGGGGAAGGCTAGCCCTGTTGTGAGGAGTCAACGCCGGCAGCTCCCGCAGGACACATGCCCAACAATGGGCAGTAGACCCTTGAACAGCACAGTTTGAACTGCCCAGGTCCCGTTATATGCGGGTTTGTTTTCAGTGAATATATTGGAAAATTCGGGCAGGATTTGTGGCACTTTGGAAAAACATTTTCTTTTTTCTAGTTTATTGTTAAGAATATGGTATATAATACATAGAACATTACAAAATATGCATTAATCCACTGTTTATATCAGCAGGCTTCTGGCCAGCCATAGGTTATTAGTGGTGAAGTTTTGGGAGAGTCAAAAGTCGTACGTGGGTTTCCAGTCATGCGGTGGGGGGTGGTGGCAGAGGTTGGGGGAGGCGCCCTTATCCTGCCTTGTTCAGTGAGTGGTCCCCTGTTCCTTACAGCAGACACGCCACAGAGGATTCATTTTACTAACTTTTTGGGGGTCTGCGTCAGGCCCTGTGGTCAGGAGAGACAGCCTTGCCCCAGGTGACTGCTGCTCCGCCCAGTGCCATCATGGGGGTTGGGGCCAGCTTAGCCTCAGTGTCCGGGTTTGTTCAATGAGGGAATTGATACCTGACTCCAAGGAGCACACACAGGGACAGACACACACAGACACACAAAGGTAAAGAAGTATTTCCTACAGTCAAAGAGAAGACAGTGCAGCTCATTTCTCCCCAATTTTTACAGAAGAGGAAAAGGAGACTCAGTCTGATATGAGTAAAGCATGAAAATGAATCCAAGACCCACCTAAGCCTTTTCTCTGTGAAATCTTCTCTCTCTGACAGATACACATCCTCAGATGTTTTTTAAAGTCTTTTTGGAGCTTTTGGTCTTACATGGCCTGATAACAAGAAACAACTGTAATTAAGCAGTTTACCTCAAAAGAGCTGAGGATAAAAGTGATAAAAACATACCAAAGTCTGAGAGACAGAATCCGCAGGAGTGAAGGACTGAGGAGAGCAGAGGCTAGGTGTCGGCAGGGCGCTGTGAACACAGAAGGAGTGCTTCAGTGCACCTCCTCAGCACAACTAAAACCACCCACATGCACACCCGCGGCCCGCCTTGGCTCCTGTCCCTTCGGGTTGAATCTGCTGTTCTTTCAGGCCTTCGTTTTCTCCCCACCGGGCCCTCATGCATCATGCACTCAGATGTTCCAAGAGTCGTGGCTGCGCAGGACTCAACACCTGTGCGCATGCGCCTGCCCTGACAGCGGCTTTGGAGTCAGTGTCAGAAGGTGTGTTCTCTTGGCGTTCTCAGGATGCTGTTTCCTTTTCTATAGACAGGCAGTCGGTCCGTTGGCTGTGTTTAAAGCGCTTGGGGCATCTTCACTGGCCAGTGCTGCCCTGTGGCGTGTTGTTAACAGAGATTTGGACAAGGCTAATGAGACAAGTTCAGTTCCACGTCCAGCCTCCAAGCATCCTTAGAATTACTCAGATCCCTCCTGCAGGCAGAAGTCCTTTTTCTTTCTGCTAATTCAGATAAAATTCCCTTTACAAACCTTTGATAGAATGAAGACTTTAAACTTTTAGTTGAGATGACTTTCTGTTTATATTGACCTTGGTAACGGTTAAGAATCCTGTAAAATACATCCATGTGTATCAAGAGTTGATTTAGAATTAACTCTGGGACACCAATGGACTACAGCCTGAATGCATTTAATGGGGTAAGATACCTTTCAGTTAGTTCATTCATGTTTTTATTTTCTTTTATAAAAATTATATAAAGCAATGGAATTAGATGACAGAGGCCACCTACTACTTAAAAACAACAAATTCTGTATGTAGCTATTTTACTTGCAGGAAGACATGAACCATCATGATCTTAGGGCCCAGGAAACCAAAATAATTTTTCCACTCTGACATAAATTGATTTATCAGGTGTTCTGGGCCAAGCTGCTCCTTATTAAATTTCCTCCTTCACATTTGTAAAGTAGAAAGATACTGGGGCCCTTGAAAATGCAGTCTCTCCTCTTGCTGACACTGGTGACAGTCGGTGCCACCGTGTGGTCTGTGAGCCCCGGTGTGGCTGTGTCCCTGCTGGAGGCTGGGCCGAGCCCCGGGGCAGCAGTGTGTCGGGACTGCTCCCTTCCTGAAGGTTTGGAGGCTCTGCCTCAGTTGGGTGTTAGTAGAAGCTGCCGCAGTAGAGCTCATGGAACGGAATGAGTGTAAATCCATTACCCCCTCCTCATCAGTCCACAGGCATGCAATATTGGCCTCCTCCTTTGACTGGTAGGAAATTGAAGCAAGGGAATTAGGACCTACCCAAAGCTGTGCTCTTTCTGGAGCCTGAATTACTGGTTCTAGATTTTAGCATGCAAAGAAACTTCTGAGGGTATTTGCAAAAATGCAGCTTTCTCTGCCCCACCCCAGACCTACAGAGTCAGAATCTCCGGAGTGGGGCCCAGGAACCTGGTGTTTTTCACAAGTACCCAGGTGATTCTGGTGACACTTTGAGAGCCACTCCCCTGAGGTGCTTCTGCCCAGTGCAGAACGCCTGCACCTTCCTGCTCCTTGGCCCACAGTGCACACAGATCTCCAGAAGAGGGGAGGACAGTACAACACCGTGAAAAGGGCCTCGGTCAGCAAGGCTTCCCTCTCATACTTTCTCCCCTGAATGTCTTAATAAAACATCAAAACAAAATGAAATTGTAACCAACCCAAACATCCATCAGAGCTAATGCATAGTAAGTCACCCCACATTCACCTAGAAGGGATTTACTATAAAGCTAATGAAACTTCTGAGTCTGGGGTGGTCCCAGCAGTGTACTGTCAGGGCCTTGTATTTTATGAAATTTACATAAGGAAAACATTTTGTTGAATTTTTGTGATTTCTCATTCCAAGTATTCACTTTCACTTTGTACCTAATTTTGTGTGCATGAGCCTCGGGGCTCACAAGGCCCTGGTGCACCTCTGCAGTCACGCTGGGGGTGGTGCCCCCAGCAGGTAGGTGGGATGCTCGTGGTGGGTCCAGAGAGCAGTGCCCAGGTGGACTCTGCACGTGGTCCAACAGTACCCACAGGATGATCCCAGTTTTGAAAAAAGAACTGAGATATATTTGTGTGTACTCAAGTGCCTCTAAAAAATACATGTTTTTTGTCCCATACTCTTCTGTACTCTTGATCTTTCCCAAACATAAAAAATGGGATTTATTCTATAATTTTTCTTAAATTAGAAAAGCACAGGGTTTTTTTCCATAGAAAAATTCATAGAAATTTTTCACAGAAAAAAAATGCTCAAATCATGCCTCCCAGCAATAATGACTGCTAAATAATGTAAATAAAACTGGTGTTTCCTCCAATAAGAGACCCCAGAATTGCCCTTTGCCTTAATAGTGTAGTTGCTGGAGAAAAGAATCTCCTTTAGGCTCCATTCAGTTGCAGACCATGAAGAGCAGAAAAAAATTTTAAATAAGGTTGCTGGTAGCCTCCTCAGAAGCTGAAAGCCCAGTGGTTTTTTTCAGTGCCTGCACTTCTCTGAGCAACCAGTTTGGGCCTGGCTGTGTCAGGGCAAAGGGAATTTCACAGGGCCTACTGTGAGCACTCTGTCTGCACAATATACTTCTGAAAGCCCTTCTAACAGCCAGGGACTGGGTAAGCATAGAAGGGTAACTATGTGGTACAACATGTGTAACAGTAATCTGTAGATAAGTATTTATTAAAATGGAAAACCTTATAACATAGTAAATGAAAAAAGTGCCAAAAACTATGTGTAGTAAAGTCTCATTTTTATAAATGTGCTCACATAACCACCACACACACATAGGAAAGAATTCTGAAGATAGAAATACAATATAAATATCGTTGGTCATTTTTTCCTGTTTGCTTATTTTTATAACCCAAATTTTGCTTCAAAGAACACATTCCTCCAGCAATATAAAAATAAAACAATTAAATTATCTTTTGATACAAAAAAGAGCAAGAACAGGCCATCCTGGGCCTCCACACTGTCTTTGTGTGGTGGTTTGAAGTTTTCATTTTTTTCACTTGTTGAAGAGTTCCACAAGCTTTTGAAACAATAGGAGAATGTGTAAACCATCAGAGTGTTCAAGTGTTGTCTGTGAGCTTATTTATTAGTTGGTTTGACTCCTGGCTCCCAGAGTCTTCTGATTTCTAGGCAGCAGTGTGCACACAGGCCTCCCTGCCCGCTGCCCCCAGGAGGGAGCCTGAGCAAGCCTCCACAGTTTCCAGCCTTCAGCGGGCTCTTCACAGAAGTCCACGCTTACCCCTCTCGCACGGCCTCACAGAGGAAGGGAACATCAGTTTCTACAACATTCCTGGGTTTCTTACCTGTTCTTTCTGCACAGTGTGGTGCGTGCTTTGTGCGTGCTTTTCCCATGTCCCCCTCTGATTCATCCTCTGGAACTGAGGGGGCCCCACTTCATGGCCAAAATGCTGAAGCCTGTGGCTCAACCCCCCCACCCCCACCAACTGTCTGCTACACAGACATTCCAGAGGCTACCACAGATGCTGTTCTGCGTAGGGTGGCCCCAGCTGAATCCTTTGTTCTTTTATTGTGTCTGGGGGAGCATGGGATGGGTGGTTACTTTTTTTAATGCTACAGTCTTTTAAGCATCAAAAGCCACCATTTAGCTGTCAGAGTTGGAAGTCAGCATGATGGCAGAAGCCTCGAGAGTGAGGACAATGTTCCCTCTGTGAAAAGGTGGAGTGTTTGAAGTGGCTGAGCCTGGCCAATCAGTCCCAGAAGACAGAGCAGTTCAGGGGCTCAGTGGGAAGAGAGTACTTTGCACTTCACAGGCTTCAGAGCTCCAGTCAGGACAGGACCCACAGCTGCCAAAGCCACCTTCTTCAGGGTGCCCGGCTGTCACCTGCCATGGCTTCCCTTCGATCCCAGTCTCATCATTGAGTGGGGCTCTCCTGCTGACAGTTCTGTGTGTCCTCCCCAGGGATCTGATTTGTGAAGCACTGAATGGGTTTCACAATCAACTCCAGTGGCTACTGCCAACTTCTATGAACAGATGTGTAATTAAAAAAAAAGAGACAAAGGACCTCCACTCTCAGTATTGTAACTGGAACCTTTCTGACAGCAGGCTGATGACTTGTCTTAAGTCTCAGAGATGGAAACAGTGCATTCAATGCACTGGTGTTACAGCTGTTACAAGGTGGGCTGCATCTACGGTTCCTATCATTTATTTTTAATTTGTTCTAAGAAACACTGGGTCTAGGAGCTCTCTACGCACTTCAGCAGGCTGCCATTTGGTCAAAAAGAGGTCCTGTGCTTTCATTGTTGGCTCTGTGGCCAGTCTGAGACAGCAAGCCATCATGGCCAAGAGCTCTGGAGAGGGGTCTGTGCCTTCCCTGGAGCCTGTGAGGGCCTCACAGCCTCCTCAGACACCTGGCCAGGCTCATCAGGCAGGGGAAGCCCCCAACAGTCCCAAAGCCTTCCACCCAAGCCACAGTGGGCCACCTGACCTAGTTTTCTAATTTTAATTATGTCAAGTGCTTAACAAAGATGGTAGCTCCCTTGGGTCCCCCATGAACTAATAGTCATGAGATTGCTCCAGTCACAGCTGTGTCGTGCACACAACCTTCCTCTGTGACCCAGCAGATGTTCTTTGTAAACAGTTGTATTAATTACGTCTTGGAAACATGGGCTTCACCAGATCCTCTGGAGCTGGGTGAAGTCTGAAGTGGGCGGGAGGGCCCTCAAGAGAGAAATGTCTCCAGGAAATTCTCTCCCTTCTATAGCTGTCTGTTCTCTAAATTGTCGTAGAGCTACTGCAGCTGTTTACTGCAGGGTGACCCTGCGCACAGCTGTGGTTCCGAGGCTTTGAAGGGGATCTCTGCTTCCGGCCTCTTAGAGCCTCTAAGAGTACCACTGAGATCTCACTGTGTTCCTTCGTGCCCCCCTGGGGTCCTGCGCTCGCTGGGCCCCCTGAGCTCCCCACAGGTGCTCTGCTCCATCCAGGGTCTGGGTGGGGCTTCCAGACACCCATTAGCGCCCGAGGGCTGGTGGGGCCCTGAAGTCCATTTGAACCCTCCAAAGGTAGGTACTTGGTCTTCAGTTCAGTTTGACTGCTCTAGGAAATTTGTTTAACCTGTTGCTGTTAATACAGTTATCTGTGTCTGCCTCACCTTTTCTGGACTTTTAACACCATATACCAAGATTTTTTTCTTTGTGTCAGCCCCTTAGTTTAAAGGAGCTGGTTCTCCTCTTCCTGAGGGTGAGTGACAACCTTTCTGTGGACAGGGCTGGCAGCTCTCTCCACTTTGACAGGCTCTGCGAGCTGCCAGCAAGCGGGCCCTGAGCCCAGAAGTGGCAGGCAGGGGCCAGGCCGGGACCTGCTAGTGCTGCCCTAGCCCTTACTATGCTCTTCCCTGCTGTAAACCAACTTCGGGGACCTAAGTAAGGCACTTGTCATGTGTCCTTTTAAAAAATCAATACTGTCATCCACACGTCCTCTAGCTTCTCGAGGTCACCTCAGATCTGCCTCTGCCATCTGGTGTACACAGTTCTGCTTGGTGCTGCCCCACCCTGCTTTCCATGGCTTTATTTACCAAATTGTGACAGAAATGTTAAACAAGAGGGAGTTCTACATATTAACTCCAGTACCGCTCAGTGCTTAGAAATGGGTCTACTATCAACAGGCTTTTTTTCCCCCTACAGGGATGGAAATCCCATCAGCTCCCCCCTTTGCCCTAGGAGCTGCCTGATAGATTGTATCTATATAGCTTGCTGATTTCAGTAACTGCCTCATCTGGCAACTTTGTAATGCCCCAAAATGAAACAAGTTAGCATGTGATCTGCATTTACTGAACTCCCTTGATGTATAAGTAACAAATCCTCTGTCTTTAAATGCATACATGACATTTTAATAACTATTTTTCCTGAGATGTTATTTATCTCCATTTTCTTCCGCTTTTTGAAAATTAGAACATGTTAGCCTCTCAACAGTTTTCCACAGCACACTGATCTTTCCATGATTCCCTAAGGTTGGACGTAAGTGGCTCAGCCATTTGATATCTTAAATTAAGTTTTAAAAATTTTTCAAGAAATTCCTTCATGTTCCTTCGCATTTATCCAAAGAAGTTGAAAAGTTATGTCCACGCAAAAACCCGCATAGATGTTTATAGCAACTTTATTTATTTATAATTTCCAAAATTTAGAAGCAACCAACATTGTCCTTCAGCAGGTGAATGGATAAATAAACTGTGGAATATTATTCAGTACCAAAAGAAATGAGCTGTCAGGCCATGCAAGGACATAGAGGAACCTTAAATGCATGTCACTAAGTGAATGAAGCCATCTGCAAAGGCTGCATGCTGTCCAATTCCAACTGTATGACCCTCAGGAAAAGGCAAAGCTACAGAGACAGTAAATGGATGAGTGGTAGCCAAGGGTAGCGGGGTTGGGGGTGAAGGCCGAGCACAGAGGATCTTTAGGGCAATGAAGCTACCCTGGGTAGTGCTGCAGTGGTGGACAGACACATTTCATTTCTATGCGTCTGTCCAAACGCATAGAAAACACACAACCACGAGTGACTGTAGGGTAGATAGTGGACTTTGAGTGGTAAGTATGTGTCAGTGCAGATTCCTCAGTTGTAACAAATGCACTGCTGTGGGGAGGGATGTTGATAGTGGAGGAGGCTGTGCATATGTGGGGGCAGTGGGTATACAGGACATCCCTGTACCTTCCCCTCAGTTTTGTTGTAACCCTTAAACTGCTCTTTTTAAAAAAAGTCTTAATAATAATTATAATAATAAATCATGACAAGTTTTCATAAGACACACCATATAACTGTTGGTTAATATATTTCACTAGAATAAACTGTAAATTAAATTTTGTCCAAAGCATCCATCCCTGCAGATTTTGCAGTCCTTACATTTGAAAGGGAAATTACAGGTTTGTCATACAAATAAGGCCATAAGCTTTGACTCTGTGGATTTTTAAAATTCTGTAATGGTGTTCTCCTCTGAGGAAACTGAGAAGTTTGGGTAGATGGAGAAAAACATAATGAAAAGAATCCCCAAATAGGTCATAAAGTATATTTTTTGGATTGGAGTTCTTAGACTCAGTTTCAGTATTTTGTTCACCTATGTGGTGAACTGCTTCAAAACTTCTTATGATTCTTTAAGATCTCCTCTGTTCATAGTATTCAGTGCATTTCTGGACAAATGAGGCTGACCAATTTCTCACTAAAGAATTCTTTCAGCATCCAGCATTTTCACAGACTGAATGGCTAAATAACAGTTCCAAAGAAACAGTTAAGACTTAGATTCCATTTTTGAGCCCTTCTATAGAGAGCCAGAAAGTTTGATTAAGTTGATAACTGTTGCCAAGTCTGGACAAGCCCATAAATGTGTGTCCTCTCTGATATCTGAATCATGGGCTTAATAATGGAAAGGGATTTTTTTGGAAGAGTTGATTATTTATAAAACTAATTTACAAATTAATACTATGGCTTAGTTAATTAGATGGCCTTATTGCAGAAGTCCATAATTATAATATGTCAATATATCTCTACTTTTCTAACACTCTATAGTGCATTTTTGTGAAGATAATCCTACAAAACTTTTCAAATGTTCATAAACCTATAATGAATGTCACATTAATAAATAAATTGAAAGCTTCCATATTTCATTTGAAGCTCAATCTAAGGAAGAAAATTTTTATAGATACCTATGCAGGTAGAACACTGGAAAGGGTTGAGGTAGCCCTGGATGGTAGTGTCCAAATCCAAGCAAGAAACTGATCAAGCAAATTTAGGCATCAGATTACATTCTTCCAAATACAAGAATCTATAGAATGAATTACTGCAGAGTGCCTCTACATATTCAGGAACCTGTCTCCCTTTTGACATCTTTGTATATAATTAAATCTAAATGTGCCAAACATGATTTGAGAATATTCATACAGGTTATATGTCATCTCGGTTTGCAAGGATGAAAGATGATGTATAGGAAGTTCATATCTTTTAATTGACAAGAATAAATTTTTCTTGAATGATATGGCTTCTAAAAATTCATTACTTGAATTACATTGTTTTCTTTTTATTTTTCATGCCAGAAGGTAGAAGTGCTCATACTGAAAAATAGAAATGTTAATCTCTGCTTGAATCAAAGTCCAATTTATAGGATATATAATTCATGAGCTTGTCTAGAAGCACACATAGACATGCAGAATATAAAAGAAGATCTGTTGCTAATAATAATAGGACATATTTATCAAATTGTTACTATGAGGTAGGCACTGCCCTGTGGGCTTTGGAGTCTCATTAATAACCCTGTGTGGCCATCGCTGATCATCAGGGAAATGCAAATCAAAACCACAGTGAGGTATCACCTCACACCAGTCAGAATGGCTAACATCCAAAAGACAAGAAATAGCAAGTGTTGGCGAGGATGTGGGGAAAGGGGAGCCCTCCTACACTGTTGGTGGGAA